AACAAACAAACATTAAATGATTGTCTATTTGTTACACCTACAGCAACAATGTTATGACCTAAAAACCTTCTATCAAAATAGTTCTTATATCAATCCCCAGACTTTTACGTTGATTAGCCATTTTATTAGGATCATACAAAGGTTCTTCATCACGGAGTGGTCTGGAGTTGGATTAAAGATTTTGTCAATAAGTTATGACGCTCCCCCTCAGTGGCACATTGGTAAATCTGACGGCTTATAACGCAATAAGCCGGGTTTCGACACTGGTGGTGGGCACAGCGCAGCTAGCCCGTTGTGAAATTTTGCGCTTAACTACAAATAAACAATAAGTTATTATAATGAATTCGAAGTTAAAATCCACCCAAATATCCTAAATCAGATTAAAGATCCATTAGTTGTGCTTCCTAAGAAAGATGACTGAAGTCACTTTAAAGTTATCTGAACCAGCTTCTGACAACATGAGAACAATGAGCTGTTTTATTTTTTGTGTTAAGAAAGTCATTATTAGGGAAGATGGAGTTCAATCATTGTGAGATGGTCACGTTATATTAAAAGTTCAGTAAACTTCAGATGTTTATTGCCCTTTTACAGGAATCAAACTTAGCTACAAGAACCTTAGTCACCATCCAGACCGCTACATGTAATTTGCAGTGTTGGTGAAAAACAAGTAGGGTCTAGTGTCTCGTGATTTTCTTCACGTTTTTACTATACCATCAGTTAAGAAATAGAAAAAGAGTAAAAATACGATTTACTAGATCACATAACATGCTTCTCATTATTCATTAGTCACGGTTTGCATTATTATCACTCTCTGAAGCTTTCCAGTTTACATTTGAAATAAATAAACTTCGGATTGGTTTCCTTCTGGTCGTTCCCTTTACTGATGTTTTCACACCGAAAATATGTGAAATTATCTAGTAGCTAAGGAGGTAGACAATACATGCTATGTCCACATATGAAAGCAATCTGTTTTTGAATATTTATAATAATTGTAATTAGTTCTACAAATCCATTGCAGCTAAGCATGTTCTTATGTTTATGTTAAAAATGTTAGACCTGTTTTATTGATTTAACTTGAAGTGTGGTTACAGCAATTAGAATTTGGAAATTATAACAGTTGGCCTAAATGTTCATAGCAGCTTTAAAGTAGTTTTCTATAGTTTTCGAACATTAATTTAATTTTAATCTTCTAGTTTTTATATCAAATAATTTATAATTTCAAGTATATAACTTCTAACAATATGATTACATTGCTGACAATTTCAGCTAATTATAAAATTATTGTGTTATTTAATTCTTAGCCTTTCAGACTTGTTGCAATATTATAAAATCAACTATCTAGGTTTATGATAACACAACTGAAAGCTTAACCCTAGAGTCTGTTACAAAATCATTATCATAGCAGTTTTCCTATAAATTCGTCTCATTAAACTTACACAATTATAATATTTGTACAAGTTTCATGCTTAAAGCAACATCTTCAAGATAACTTTTTATGCTGGCCTCCATAGTCTATTGTTAACATCTCTTGAAAGGTACATTGTTTGAGTCATGATATGCCATGAACTTGCCCTTGAAAGCATTATAAGAGTGACAGGCAATTCGAGAGAACCTTGAGTTCTAGGCATGTTGTAGCACAAGATAATTAGTGTGCGGACCATTTTCATTTATAT